CCTCCGGCTCACTTTCATTCTCTTCTTCTGCAGGAGCTGGTGGAGGTGGTGGGGGTAGTTTTTTCTCTTTCTCAGCTTTAGCATTTCTCTCTTCTTCAGAGTAATACTCATCTTCTGACAGGTTTGCAAGACTCTCATCCATTTCTCTATACTCCACCTGTAAAAAGCACAACAGAGAATAAACGCACTGAAGATGTCTGTAAGCTGGACTACAAAAACGAACATTGCAAATAACAAAACTGCTTACAGCTCAAAGAGAAGGCTTGTGTTACCTTATGCAGTCTTATTACAGATACCATGTTATAAAATGCAACAAAGCTTAACAAGTTCCCCATGTTTTCACCTCCACCTAAAAAAAGTGTCTCCAGCACCCAACAGTGGGAGCTTTCTACTCATATGAAGCCCAGTTTACGTGTATTTGTTGTATCATCATTTAACCCCGTCTAGTTTTCTTTCCTTCCTTCATGTCCCTATCAAACCTGGGGATAACAAGTTGCCTCTGTGTCCCTATGTTCCAACTTGACTTTATCTGCCAAACATGGGTGATCAGAACCATACATAAGATTTCCTGAGGAAATCCCATCTGTGTCCCGTACAGTCTCCTGGGAATCTTGTCCTGGTACAGAGGCTCACAGCTGCCTCCTTTCCAGGACAGTCACACTAGTGGCTTAACACCAGAACGATGCCCTGCTCCCACCCATCTTTATTGCCATGTATGTTTTGTACTGTTTTCCAGTAAAAATAAATAATATTACCAGCCAAAAAGACGCTGCTCCAACCTAAAGGAACACAGAAACCTCAAGAATAGCCTGGAAGGGATGCATCTCTTACTGTTTAATAAAACGAATTCCAAAGTAAGAAAGCTTTGTACAATGCTATTGAATAGCCCTATCTACTGGAAAGGAAAAAAGCACTTCTCGACATGCGGCCATGGGAAAAATAAAAAGAAAGCAGCTAGTGACCCTCCAACATCTGACAGGTCTGAAATAACAAAAGCAACTCTGCATTTCTCATTAAAAGAACAAAAAATCTTTCATAGCTCAAGTTCAATCATTCAGAAACGGCAGTAACAGGCACCAATTCAAAACACAACTGTGTTTCACTGGGAAGCCTCTGTATAGGAAATCCTGGATTCAGTAAAACACTAACACACACCACGATCTGCTCTCTTTTAAATATTTGCAGTCCACAATCTCCAGCATATTTAGTTTTTCCCACTGTTGAGCGAATGTTGCACCACCAGGACATTCTGCGAACTCCCACTCTGAAGCAAGTTACAGTGACCCTCCAGCACGACCGTACATTACCACCGTATTTGAAGCCACGTGTGCCCTCAGAAGTCTCCCATTCCCCCTGAGTTCACAGAGCTTTCCAAGAACAATCGAGTCCAATAAAAAACCTAAGCTTTTCCCTAGGTTTATTTTTAACCTGGGTACCCCCCCAACTAAATTCACCCCACAAACATTCACAGTAAGGCAATCTCGTGCTGGGCTGAAGTGCTCATGGGGACAGAGGGTGTCATAAGAGGTGAACAACCCTTTGCAGATAAGTACTGTCAGTGCAGAGAAACATCATCAACACACAACCCACACAGAGCACTAATTCCTACTTGTTAACAGACCACTATAAAGCAGGAATGCTGCTTCTGAAGATCACAGAATCACAGAATGGTTTGGGATGGAAGGGACCTTCAAAACATCTCATTCCAACCCCCCTGCCATGTGCAAGGACACCTTTCACTAGACCAGGTTGCTTCAGGCCCCGTCCAACCTGGCCTTGAACACTTCCAGGGATAGGGCAGCCACAGCTTCTCTGCCCAACATCACCCCCATAGTAAAAAATATCTTCCTTATGTCCAATCTACATCTACCTTCTTTCAGTTTAAAAGATGCACCAGACTGATCTACCCAGCAGCTCCTGTATGCAAATGACCAGCTATCACATCACACAATGCCTCTGAAAAGCTAGACATTCAATGCCACAGCCACAGGACAAAACACTTCCGAAAAGTAATTTCAGCTTCCCAGCCAAACACCCCAGCTGTGGGCACAGCCAAGATCTTCAATATCTTCTGAGACAAGGTTTCGAAGAAAAAGTTTCACAAAAAGAAGATAACGTTCTCATATGTTCAGAACAATAGATGAGAATTACATGTTACAGACCCAAATTACTGGAGACTCTTTATGGCCTTTAGATTTCAGTGCTAAGTCTCACTCTTAACACAGCATTGACTCAGCTCACCAAAGCCAATAGAGGGAAGGTGAGGAACAGTGGACTGAGCGTGGCCATGACCTTCACAACCTTGCAAAATCAGCACAGGCCCATGAACATGAGCCTCAAGAGAATCTGCATCTCTGTACTCCAGCGACAAGAATGCACTGATGAAATGAAGCTCATGAGCATTCCGATGCACTGTCAGGGACTTGGAGTATTTTTACTGCTCGGTATCCGATCGGGAACCCCAAAAAGTTCCTGGGCTGCTGCAGAATGCTCTCCTTTGTGACATGCACCGTGTCACGCCATAGTCCACGAAGAGCTGGGACACCACGGGATCTTGACCCGCACTGCCTTCTTGCGCGCCCGTGTGTTTATCCTTCGAACTCACGCCCCCGAACCCTCTCGGGCACAGGCCCGCCCCCGCCGGCAGCGCCCGGGCCCGTGCTCAGCCCCGCGCCGGACCCGGTCCCGGGGGCAGCGCTACCCCGAGCAGGGCCGAGCCCCGCCTCCGGTCGCGGCTCTGCGCCAGCAGGGCCCGTAGCCGGAGCACCCCAGACCTACTTTAGCCCGCTTGCGGCGGCTGGTCCTGCGGCCCTCGGGGGTCTCGGCGATGCCGGTGGTTTCGCCGCCGGGCGCAGGGGCGGCCCCGGCGGCCGACGGCTCGGACACACCGCCCGGGGGCGAGGCCCGCGGAGGCTCCTTCTTGCGGGGCGTGCGCTCCGCAGCCCCGCCGCTATCGGAAGAGGAGCCCAGAGTCCCCGCGGCGGCGGGCGGGGGCACCGGCGCCTCCGGCCCGGCCTCGCCACCCGCCGCCGCCTCCGCGCCCTTCTTGCCGCCCGCCGCAAGCATCGTCCCGACCGCACAAAGGGCCGCGCCGCGGGCCGCACAAAGGACCGCCTGGCAACGCCCGCCCTGCGCGTCACATCCGGGCCTCGCGCGCACAGCGCCGCCTGCGGCCCGCGCAGCGTCGGCCCCAGCGCGGCCCTCAGCGCGGCCCTCAGCGCTTCCGCACACCCCGCCCCGCACACGCAGCTCCCCCACCGCTCCCCTGCCTGCACACAGCAGCAGGACCTCCTGGCGGCTGAGAGCAGCAAGGAGCCCTGCGGCCACAGCAGTCCTGTGTGAACACATGGAGGCCCTTGAAACACGTCAAGACAGTTGAAAGGGAGACGTTTGTGCCTGTTTCATCATAGAATTATAGACTGGTTTGGGTCGGCAGGGAAGCTCATCTTAAAGCATGGGCAGGAACACCTTCCACTAGACCAGGTTCCTCCAAGCCCCATCCAGTCTGGCCTTGAACGCTTCAAGGGATGGGGCAGCCACAGCTTCACTGGGAAACCTGTGCCAGTTGAGCCCCACTAAAGAATTTCTTCTTAATATCTGATCTAAATCTACCTTCCTTCAGCTTAAAGCCATTTCCCCTTGTCCTGTCACTCCAGGCCCTCATCCCGAGTCCCTCTTCAGCTCTCCTGGAGCCCCTTTAGGAACTGGAAGGGGCTCTAAGGTCTCTCCAGAGCTGCCTTTTCTCCAGGTTGAACACTCCCAGCTCTCCCAGCCTGGCTCCAGAGCAGAGGGGCTCCAGCCCTTGGAACATCTCTGTGCTCTCCTCCAGACTCGTTCCAGCAGGTCCGTGTCTTATATTGGCAACCCAAGAGCTGGAGGCAGCACTGCAGGTGAGGTCTCACCTGAGCAGAGCAGAGGGGCAGAATTCTCTCCCTTGCTCTGCTGCCCGGGCTGCTGGGGATCAACCCAGAACACGGGGGGTTTCTGGGCTGCCAGCACACATTGCCAAGACCTACCAAGCTTCACATCCACAAAGCATTCAAATTTTAGTCTTCCTGTCACCTTCTGAGGTCTGAGAATTTTCCTCACCATGTCCTCTCTCAAGTTTCTACTTAAACAAGTAGAAAATGCTGGTGAGGTGGGAATGGGAAACTGGATCTCCAACCTTTGGGCAGGACACTGCTGATCAATGCCCAGCAGCCCCACAGATGCCTTTGAGGAGAGTACTGCCAGAGATGTTCTGCTCTTGGTTTGCTAAAGATAACAGGTAATTTTCTTGCCTCTCTCCTTAAAACTGGTCATTCCTTGGAAGGAATAGTGGCTGGTCCAAGCAGACCTACCTTGTCATGAAGCTGGTTCGTATTGGCTGATCACATGGCTGTGTAGACACTATAGGAGGATTGATGTACCCGGGAAGGCAAAAGCTGCACAGGAAGATTCAGGTGTGATTTCAACCATTCTCAGGAAGCCAGGAAACAAGTAGAGGCTGTAGAATGTCTGCAAGGTGTAGATGATGTGTTCCAGATGTCTGCCCAGCAGTAATGTGAGCAGGCAGAAGGTCAGCAGCACACACTGACAGTTCCAGTGCTGAGAAGTGACTGGAGCAGAATGGAACCAACCCAAACTCTTGTTCAGGAGGTAGATATGAAATCCAGCTACAAGAACTGCAGAGATCAACTCTAAATAGTGACAGGGAAGAAAAGGAAGTAACAGGCAATTGCTGCAAGAATGCTATCTTCGCCTGTAAGCCAAGTATTTCATGCTTCCATAGGTACTGACATTTCCTTCACCTACCCATTTTAGTCTCCCTTTTATTTGTGTTTAGCCAAATTTCTGAAATAGCCACAAAATTAATTTTTGTGTATAATTTTTACCTAATGGATGAGGCAAATGGTTTTCTCAGAGCACATTTAATATGTTTTCCATAGCTTTAGACCAGCCAACATCTCATTCAAAACTTGACACATTTATTCTTCTGAATTGACAGATTCAAGTTAATCCTTTTATTTTTGAGAGCCATTTATTAAATGCAGTTAACATGACAAATATAGGCTTTCCATATTTGTAAAACCAAATCCTAAATCCATATTTATAATTTAGCTCTGTATTTGCTGGGGTATAAACACAATTAGAATAAGGCATACAAAGGACTTGCAGCAACATCTTGTTGCATCTGAGACATCATCATGCCCATCATCTTATAAAGGCATTTTTCCTTATGATCAGAAAAGGAAACAAAGCTATCAATAAAGGATCTAAGAATACTCTGACATCTGAAACAATGGCAATTTGCTTTGATGACCTCTGTACAGAGCTGAGCAAAACTTTTTAATTTACTGCAGATAGAAACCCTAATTTTTATATGAAGTATGTGCATTCAGGCTGGTCCAAAACATTTGTATGCACATGCAAACTTATATGTAACTTTTATCTTTATTTCAACAAAAGTAAATTTAATTGCATCTTTCATCAGGAAAGTCTGAAATAATCAATGCCGAAGCCATTTCCACAATTACTACTCACTTCATTCTTCACTAATCGATGTGGGCAAACTGTTTCCTGGGCTTTTTTATATATATAAGAACAATTTTTATATAAAAGAACAATGATGAAGAACAAATATTCCAGCACTGCTATTTGAACTGGATTCATATTAATGGAAAACCCTCCATGGAGTGGATGACAAACCCTCTCAGAATGAAAGCTTGGCTCTGATACACTTGCTGAGCAACTGGACACTTCCATATACACAAAAAATCTAGGCAAAGAAGAACCGAAATGGAGGACCTGAGGTGTGGGAAAGCTGTTAACCATCCCACTTGCAAGCAAAAGAGAGAACAAGAGAGAATTAGTATCTTTCTCTAACATGTGTATGCCATTCCTGTAACATCCTTCCACACCCCCAGCAGCACAGTGGGGAAGAGGAGCAGCCTAATCCCACTATAATGCTACTTAATACCAACTAGTGCTCATTTTCAAGGAAGCCACGGTACATTTCCTCAGTTGTAATTCATCCTTCTTCCCACATTTCAGAGAAAGGTTTTATTATGTAGCATTTTTCATTATGACAAACATGAATCCAGGAGAAAGGCTGCTGTTGCATTCAGCTTTTTAAAACACAACACACTGACTGGTGAGTACAGGTATCATTATACAGGAAATCAAGTCACCCAAAGCCTCTTCACTGTGAAGAGAGTAAGACCGGGAAGGTTCACAGAACGCAGAGAATGGAAAGAGGATCAAAAGCAATTTTCAAGGCATACACAAACTGAAGAAAAAGGTGCTTCGAAGTCTACGCTCGTTTTCCTCCCTTTAAAAGTCTATACTTTGAATAAAAGTCATTGGGGAGGAGGGGAAAGGTCATCACCCAGTACTTTTTCTAAATTAAGTTCCACAGTTTTGTTTTTGTTAAAAAGAAGTAATTTATAATTTAACACCTGTTTCAGGATTCTCAGATCTGTGGTGATGTTAACAGTGCACTTAATTGGCATTATCAATTTTTTAAAAAAAATTAAAAAGCAGCTCTGAACTTTGCTTCTGAGATGGAAGCAGTGTCTCTGAACCAGCAATGATTCCTGTTACTCTTGCTTTGCATCTTTCAAGGCCTGAAGTCTTTCTAAAAGGGGTGGGTGGGAGTAATGCCACATTGAAAAGATCCAGTCAGAAACAGGGAAACCTAAATTATCTTTGTTTAGCTTGATCAAAGCAGAATATAGGTCTTTAGCCTTCCCAAGTTCCTTGGCAAATGCATCTGCTTGAAACTCAAACCGTCGGCTTAATACAGTCAAACAAAATGAGAGAACCTGTGGAGAGAAATGTATTAAAAATTATTTTAAAATTCAGCTATCTGCAAATTCCTTACAGTAAATACTACTATATCTACCTTTCCACATCCCACACATTGCTGTGGCTTTAGAATGATCTCACTAAGGTTTATCCATGCCACACCTTAAACCAAGAGTCTTACTCAACATGCAGCACTAGCCCTGATTATTAAAATGAGACACCCAATACGGCCGCTAGAAGCTTCAAACTTTCCCAGTCAAAACAAAATCATTATTTAAATAAGATGATACTTCAGCATCTATGTCTTGAAAACAATTTACCTCATTGTAAGGTGAAAAAATGAACTGGAAAATAATCATCAAGCCTATCAGGGTAGGCTGGGTGTCATAGAAACCAAATGCAGTAAAGAGTTCTTTTCGACCAATTAGCACAGCAAACAAGAAGAAGCAGAGGAAGGAATTCATCTAGAGAAAGGAAACAACATTCTTGATTAAGATGAGTCTAAACACTACATAATATCACATTACAGATGTGCATAGGAATGCCACTGTAAATGGCTTTTGAACTATTATACAAAGAGGAACAAACAGCTGGTCTTTACCTACTTTCTGAAAATGCATGCAATAAAGAACCATTATTTTCAGTCAGAGAGCAAAAAAGTAGGCTAAGTAATGAAGGAAGATGAAAAGATAAGAAGACAAGTGAGGAGGGAGTAGAAGATAGAACCCATCTCCTTGGAATTAAGCATAGGTTCTAAAAGTTTAAAGGTAAACAAAATGTGTCTGTGCTGTGTTGCACTTCCTTTCCCGGAAACAATCTCTGCTTCCATCTAAGCCATGCAGCACTGTGTACGGTTTGCCTGGTTTTTCAGAGCCAAGCGGCAGGACCATGCCTTACCAAGTTTTCCAGAGAGGGCAGTCGGTACCTTTTCAATCTATCCAAGTGGCTGTTTGGTCTTTTTACAGCAATGTGAAAAGAATACTTTTTGTTATTGAAACACAGGGAACAGAAAAGAGGGATGGCTGTGACAGACAGCAAACAATACAGAAAAAGTGTAAGACATCGCAGAAGAATTTGTGACAAATTTCTGAAAGTGAGGATAAAGTCCACCTATTACAGCAAAATAGTAGTATCTAGAAAGTGGATCCAAAGACAAATTACATGAGTTAGGAATGTGGCAAAATTACTGTAACAGTTGGTAGCAGGGATCAGTGCTGATGTCAGAAGTTGGAAGGTAATCACCTTAAAGAAAGCAAGAAGAGCCTCACTGAAGTGTTCAGCTGCAGAGGTAAGAAAATGCCAATGCGAAACCAGAGAGATTTGCTTAATCGGGAGTTTAATTGTGATGTTTATAGCCTGAAAAGCTTGTGAATAACCTTAGAAAAAGAACAGAATAGCACTCCTGGAATGGTGCACGCATCTCAAGAAAGATATGATGGAATTTACAGAAGGTGCTTGGAGGGCAGCTAAGAGAAACAAAACAGAAAAGGCTGAGAACTTGGAGAAAAGAAGGCTGAGTGATATCTGGAACAACACAGATCTACACCAAAGCAATTACATATCTCTACGGAGATTACTTCATTGTTCACCCCCATTTTGGCAAGCACCAAGAATGGCACAATAAAGTTATTTATCAATAATTAATGCACAAGGTATGAGAATACAATATAAATAAGAATGCCCTCTTGTGTCAGATTTCCTAATCCTCAATCACATTCCTTCTCAGCTTTACAAGGAACAAGGCTGACAGAAGCTCTCAGACACATGTGAAGCTTTCTCAGAGGTAAAGACAAAAACCTAAAAATCTCAGGCTGGGAGTCAATACACATCTAAGCCTATCCTTAGCACAGGGATGGAAACAGAACTTCAGAGAAGGCCCTGAGATTCAAACAGACAAGCATTGCAGAGCAAAAAAAATGTGTCCCAACTTGTCCTGGTATCATCCAAGAAAGGGTTAATTTTTATGGTAGGTAGGAAGGGGCACGGCTAGGACTCAGAGGTTATTCTATACCACCTCACATCATTGCCACTGGAGATGGGGGGAAGGGAGACTCTTCTGAGGAGAAGGGGTTTCTTCTAGTCAAGAGAACCTGGCGAGGGAGGGGCCCAGTATTGTCTACTATTGTTTTGGGTTTTTCTTGTGTGTGAATTCTTTCTTTTCTTGTATCCTCTGTCATTAGTATTGTTGGTTACTGTTCCTTTTCTTATCTCATTGCTGTTTCAATAAATTGTTCTTATCTCAACCTGTGATCTTTGCCTTTTGTGCTTCCAAATCTCCTCTGCAATCCCGAAGCAGCGGGAAGGAGGAGAGGAAAAACAAGGGAGTGACAAAGAGCTGTGTGTGGTTTGGAAAGTGTCGGTGGGGGCACTGGATTGGGGAGTACCATTCCTGAACCACAACACAACTTCAGAAGGCTGCACAGATGAATTAAAATGGCAGCAGACATGCTTTCTGAGAAGCTTCCTACCAACCAGATGAAGCAAGGAGGGGACAGAAAGGTGAGTGCATATTCACCGTAGAGCAAGGAAAAAAAAAACAGACCAACTTTCTGTCACAGAGCATATCAGTGTACACCTGAATGTACACTTACAAATCTGGAAGCAAGCAGGCATTTGGAAACAGCAATAACTACAAAATACTCCAGAAAACACCCCAGTTTAAATAACTTACCTGGCTGATAATAATATTTTTGACAGTGTGACCTAGTTTCCAGTGACCCAATTCATGACCAAGTACAGCTAGAACTTCTTCATTTTTACATCCTTGTTTCTTATTCTGAGGGAATAACAAAGCAGAAGTAATATCAGCTATGACTGAACACCACTGAATAAATTTCTTACTTGTTTGTTTTTAACTTGATCACTTAAGTGTCCCTAGATCAGGCCATTCCCTTCTAATAGCAGGTACACATATATAATTTCTTATTGAGCCTTTTTCATGAAGATACTTACAAAAATATAACCTTTTAAGTTCAGGAAGATTTCTACCATGAGGTGGTGGTCTCTTATTTCAATGTATGCAGACATGTTGATGAAAACCTGGAAGAACACTGGAAGATTTGCCTTCCAAACTCTCTCCTAACCATCCCCTGATTTCATCCTGTTTCTTTACTCAAGAAAAGCAGTACGATGGAGGCAGGCATTCAGAGCTCCAGACTTCCAGAGAGAACTGAGAGCAAAGCCCTCTCCCTACTTCCTTCAACACTCAACATGTGGCCTTCCTCCCAAGGCACCAGTGTTCCTTTAAAAAGGAATGACAACATCCCTGCCCTAGTCAAAAAACCCTATGAAATGCCTTAAAGCTATCATTAGGAAGGACATCTGCACCTTTGCAGGTACATCAGGAAGTCAAAAACAAGCACAAGGGCTGAAGAACCTGTTGAAATGGAAAAAATGAGTCATTATAACTAGACCAGGTGAGCTCAAAATCCCCTCCTCTCATCACCCATTTCTGCAGTTTTTGCCAAACCAAATCCTGGACAAGGAGAATTCCACCACCAACATGGTGTCAAGAAACAGAAGCTGGTCTGAGCAATAATCTAGACATTGGCCTAACCTTAGCTGCACAAGTCATTTGTTTTTCTCAGAATTACTCCTTCAGGTTCTTCAGAAAGTATTCCATCAGCTTTAACCATCCCCATACTCTCCTGAGGTCACACCAGCTGTTAGAGCAGGCTCCTGATGGAGAGGCCAATGCCAGGCCACCATTCTGTTCTTGATCAGGGTGGGAGAGGATGCACATGTAGAATCTGTCTGTGTGTGCTCACGTGCGTTCCTCCTGCACCAAAAATTCTGCGTGCAGTAAAAAGCACACAAACGACACACTGAGAATTAAAAGCATTTCCTGCAAAAGGAAGCTTTAGTGCGGCAGTTCCAAGAGAGGGAACATGAACTAAAACCCTGAACAGGTCCTTTATTCAAACAATTACATGGAAGGTCTAGTTTTCACATGTTTTGCTAAAGCCTCTATGGATTTTACAGTCTCTTTGATGCTCCAACAGCCCCAAAAATTCCAATTAGCAAACCAGGAATATTTTGATGTTGAAATCATTAGAGTTTGGTTTTTAGCAACTCACTCAGAACCTTTAAAATACATTAGAAAGCACAAGGGAATCTCACCAAGAAGTTAATGTAAATAACAAGATGAAAAACAAACTCACTTTGGTTTTAGACTTTGTTTCTTCATTCTCACCATCTTCTCCTTCTGCTGGTTCTTTGTTCAATGCAGAATAGTCTTCCAAGAGGGTGTCAAAGAGCACTATCCGCTTATTCTTGAAGAATCCATAGAAATAAGCATTGCTATGAGAAGAACGCTTCGAACCTGAGGGGGAAAATTTACATTAAAGATCATGATCTGAATAATCCCCTGCACCAAAGCCTGTGCAGCATGACACAGACCAGACTCCTCCAAAGGAATTCTCAAAGTCCCCAAATGAACAGTACACAAACTCAGGCAAATCAGTTTGCAGACAGAAGCATATTTTAAAATCTAAGTAATGATGACTCCAATAGAGAAATGTAACACAAAAAGCACTAAAAGTGTAAGCAGTCATGAAGATCTAATGTCCAAGAAGAAAAGCAAATTCTATTGCAATTTCAGATTTAGACTGGAAAGAGCATTCTGCATTGACGTTGGCTCCTGGCAAAGAACCTGTGCTAAATAATTTAGAATGTGCCAGCAAAGATGATTGGAAACAGATAAAGATGAAGATTTTAGAAACAGATAAGGAGAAGATGAAGAGATGAACTACAGGTAATATTATTTTTGTTTGAAATAGGTCATTTTTTACAGCTACCTTTATCTAGATCAGGTCAATCATGGACTGTTTCTACCATCAAAACATCTGAGGCCAAGAAACTCATCTCTTTCCATGGAATGTCCATGGTTTCAGCTGATTAAAAAGCTTTTTTTTGACTATGGAAAGAAGCTGTTGCAACATCAGGACTGAAAGATGTCTCTATGAGAGCAGAGGTGGGGGTTTTTTGCAGCAAAAGATAAGATACACTATAAATGTATGAGCTCCATAAATCCCTTAGAGAACAAAACATCCACTGTTCCACTGGAAGCCAACCTGTGGGATGGTCATGGTGACCTTCAGCACCAAACCAATACAGATTGACAGAGGAAGAGACTGGTCAGAGTATGAACCCTCAGTAACCAGTCCCTTCTCAGTGAAGAAATCAGAACAGCCAGAGGGTAGCAATGTTTCCTTTCACCTGCGTATCATAAAAAACTTCATTCTCCACTAAGTGTTGGTAGAGAAGGAACCTTTGTAATCTCCCTCTTACAGAATGAACCCTGAGATTACAGGACTTGGTTGGGCATGCTACCAAGAAGTCAGTTCCAGAGTGTGAAGAGCCAAGACAGAGTTCAGAAAAACACTGGCAAAAAGATGTTCACAAATCCAGTCCCCCATGTCAGAAAGGAATGGTGCTGGCTCATTGCTCTTAAGGATGCTACACAAAAAAAACAGGGAGGGGGTTGGAGTTTCGGCAGCCTCCCTGCCACTAAAGCAGACATCCCGGAGAAGCCCATGCAGCACACTGCACAGGGGCTGCAGTACCAACAACTGGCTCACAGGACTTTCACCATGGCTAAAAGCTGGGACAGAACCAGCAGTACATTTGAGAAAACCTCTGCACTGACTCTCAACCTTGAAAAGCTTCAACTTTGCCTGAAAAGAGAAGAGTTTCCTGTGCCCCAAGTGTATCAGTAGTTCCCAGCAGCACTGAGGCAGAGCATCGGCAGGATTTGACCAGCCCAAAGTTTAGAAAATCACAGCTTCCTGGCTAGATAAAGCCTTCGCCAGCCTCTCTGACTGCAAAACTCTACCATTTTAGCTCTTTATGCCATCCCATACGGGTTTCACCAAGTCAGTAAAAAACACATCTGAGCCTCACAGGTGGAGCACAAAACCAAAACAAAATTTGGAAAACCCCTGAAATCAAGTTCAGACAGGAGCAAAATGAGTAATACTGGAAATGTCAGATAGTAAAACACTCCATGAACATGGAAGCAGAGAGGAAGTGACATGGCAGCTGGCACATTCCATATTCCATGACCTAAGAAAAAAAGAAATTCAGTACTAGAAAGTGAAAAAAATTAGTCTCAAGTCAGAGGTGTAAGTCCATCCAGCCACACCATAAGAAACCATACCTGTGAACAATTTTGGAAGAAATAGGCATTTTTAACTTTCAAGACTTTTTCAACTGTTTCACCAAGGACTTTGAGACGATTAATGCTAAACTGAGACTAGGAAAAAAAGGTCTTCCCTTGTTTTACAGTTCTAAAACTGTAATCTTGACTACTTTCCTGCTTCCATTCCTGACTGAGCCATGTATTTCCATTCTACAAGAGCCAGGTCAATGCTTCCAACCAGAGGCTGAGTTCAGGCTGTACATTCAGCTTCACTTTTCTGACCTCAGGGCAAAAACCAGGAAAATGCTACAGACATTGACAACTACTGCAGTATCTGAACAATGCAAGCAACTGCCCTACTACAGCATCTACAATCAAAACTAAAAAAACCCACAAATTCAAAATTATAAAGTCTGTTTTTTTAAAAAAAGAATAAATCTCACCTTCAACAACATACACCTTAGTCAACGGGAAGTCAATGCTCTTTGCCATTGTTTCAATTTGTTGCTTGAGCTCTCCCTCCGGAAGTGGAATGAATTTATCAAACAAAGGTGCAATATAGTCTGCATAGATTGTAACAAGCACCTGCAAACACATGGAGATATTAAGAATGGGGCAAGGAAACATGTGTTTAGTGTTAAAGGTGGAGCCTAAGTACAAAAAGAGGGCATAATTTCAGAAAGAAAACACTTGATAAAGCAGAGTCCTGTATAAGGTAAGATCTATGGCCAGGGTCTCTACGGACTGCTTCGTCTGGTGGCAGGTCTGCAGTTTTGCAGTTCAGCAGCAGGACAGGGCGAGGGCAGGTGCACAAACCAACTACACACCTCAGCAGAACTGGTGTGAACAGTGCAGAAGACAAGGCCGCTGGGCAGCTGGGAGCAGGGGGGTCATTGGTGACAGGCTGTCACTTCCACACAATTCACCAGTCCTGGAAAGCTCTAAAGTGTTTCATACTGAGCTGCGGAGCTGAAGGATCCAGGAGACAGTCTCACTTCTAACTCCTGCTAACTTGCAAAGCCACAGTCTAAAGAGAGGTGAGAAATTTCATGTCCCCTATTTTCTTTCCCTCCTCCCAGCTGTCAGGAGGGAACTGCCTGATGCCTCTGGGTCCACCTTGACCCCCCTCAAAAAATATCACCATAGTGCTTCAAACTGGCATCAGCTGCAGCTCAGCTGAGCAAGCCAGAACTAGAATAACACTGTGTTGGGAAAGAAAGCTGAACTCCCTTTCCTCACACTCTGGACCTTCACAAAGTGATTTTTATTTATTTATTTTAAAAGTTTAAATTCTGGTTAGCAAAAAAGGAGCAGGACATGAGAAGCAAATGGACATCAACATTAACTTTGAAGTTATCTTCACATTTTATTTCACCAAAAACAACTACCTGGACTTTTGACAGTGTGTGCACTGTTGAAAAAGTTCAATGAAATCAAAAACCAGGGAAACAGACTTCTGCAAAGTCAGAACAACTGAGGGTATCAGTATGAAGCACCACTAGAAAATAAGGCGTTTTTATTACTGTAACTGTTAAGGGCTTAAACCTGTGCAGATATTTTGCAGCAAGTGTAGGAGGGTATTTCATACAGCAGAAATCAGCTCTTTAGTCCAGACCAGTCTCAGACCATCTAGCCCGTAGGGACTAATTTTAAGGTTTTTTATCTCAGATCTTTGTGTAATGCCTTGATATCAGCAGACTGGTAGAAGGATGCAACTCTAACTCTGATTAAAGAGTCATGGAACTGGAATTTTTCCCTAAACCAAACTCTAAAGGGTAAACCTAACACCTCTTAGGGTGGTTTTGCATGTCAAACCAACACATTAAGGCCTGAAACCCTATAAAGCTGCAGTGAGGTGGCAAGCCTAAGAGCACCAATTGTCTGGGCATGCACTTAATCTGGCATGGACTGAAGGGACAGTGGCATGGACAGCCAGGGCCGAGGGCCTGGGAGAAGAGTGCGCCACTAGGTCTTGCTATATATTCTTTTAGTACAGGAAGATTGTAACTCTGCCAAGACATTTTTTTCTAGCTTTTGTTAAGATAGGCCAACCCCTGTTTTATCAGGTTCTAAAGTATCTGTAATACCTCAAGACAAAATCTACACTGATAGCTCAATGGGAAGGCACAGGCAGCTCAAAAATAAAATACCAGTTTGTGATATGAAAATGAGAGAAAGAAATATGGCGTCAGCTGAGTATGTTCTGGTTCTCACCTTGAAATTAAGTGCTTGGTACTACTCACCTACACCTCTTCTTTCTAGTAAACTGTCGTGGGTTGAGGTGGCTGGGTTTTTTGGTAGCGAGGGGGGCTACATAGGGGGCTTCAGTTAGAAGCTGCTAGAAGTTTCCCCCCCAATGAAGCCAATGATAGCTGGCTACAGGAGGGACTTCCTGCTGCTGGCCAAGGGAGAGCCAATAATCATGCCTCTGTGATAACATATTTAAAACAAGTTTGCTGGGCAGAAGAATTTTTTCCAGCCAGGGGAGAGCTGACTGAAGCTCCCGGGAGGCCCCGCCACCTCCCCCGCTGCGGAGGTGGTGGTGGAGGGTGTTGCCCCGCAGGCTAGGCCAGGGCGGCAGAGTGGCCCCTGCCAGCAGGCACTACCCTCCCTTTCCCCCGGCTGAGTCAAGCCGGGCCAGGGCGGCCTGCCACAGTGCAGCCGAGCCCATGCTGGAGCAGATGGATGCACGGAAGAAGGCCATTACCCCCTGCGGAAGGCCCAGGATGGAGCGGAGTCCTTCAAGAGACTTGTGGCCTGTGGAGAGGAAAATCCACGCTGGAGCAGGTTATTCCCGGGCAGGACTCATGGCCCTGTGGGGGATCCATATCAGTACAGCTCACCCTATGAAGGACTGCATCCTAGGAAGGATGGAGAAGTGACCCTTGGGACAGTAGATATTGAAGAACTACTGCCTGGGGGGTGGACCCACGTTGGAGAGGTCCATCAAGGACTGTTACCCGTGGGAGGGACCCCATGGAGCAGGGGAAGGACTCAGAGCTGTGGCCCCCCCCTGTAACCCGTGGTGAGGACCACGGTGAAGCAAGCTGTTCCCCTGCAGCCCATGGAAGGGTGACCTATGGGACAGCAGATCTGGAAGACCTGTTGCCTGAGGGGTGGACTTGTCCCCCTGCACTGCTGAGGGGGGAGGAGGGAGAACATGGAAGAAAGGAGGGGTGGGTGGAAAGTGTGTTTAAGACTGTTTTATTTCTCACTCTTTAGATCTTATCCTGTTAGTAATAAATTTTAGTATTAACCCCACATTGAGTCTGTTTTGCCTGTGTGACCTCTCCCAGCTCAGAGCAACTTTAGTGAGTGCCTAGAATCTGACCAAGGTCAACCCATGACATAAACCTGCTCAATAAAGACTATAAAAGGGGCATTCAGAAAATTTCTCATATGAGCTCATACAACATTTTTTACCATCTGTATTTTAAAGAAAAGATGGCAAGAATAAATACAGTCAATGACAGGTATAAAGGAGGTTAAAGAAAAAAATCTTTCAGTGTACAAATGAGGGCAGGCCATTTCAGAAAATCCTGTATCTTTCATCCTGAAACTACGACTTATTTTAAAATTTCAACTTAATCCTTCTATGAAAAAGCAAGTCTTTAAAGCCTTAAAGACTAAACACTTCACATATGAACTGGATATCACATAAAGAACTAATATCCAATTTTGCAAATAATAAGGCTTCACTAGAAAAGTCTGCAAGTATGGACTGCTTCACGCCAATTGACAGAGAAGTAACTCAAATGCTGAGTTAGGATTTAAGAGCATGCTGCTGATCAAAACTTGCAAGAAAAAGAACAATTCTTTGAGAACTGTTGTCTGCACAAATCTTTCTGTAACAGCCATTTCAATACAAATGACCTGGCATTTTTGACACCTAACATTATGATTTTTCAGAATATGTTCAGTGACAAAAAAAGGGAAGATGTCAGAGCATAAGGGCACCTGGACTAGAGAAGCTTAAGAAAGAAAACAATCACAATTCCTACCCAAGTATTCCTAAAAGTTTTCTTGATAGTGCCCTCCACTTCAACCTGGAAGTCTGAACTTGAGATGAGAATTAGGGCTTGGCTGACCCATACTTACTGTTAGGCTAATAAGGCAGCCTTTATTACATCACTGTAATGTAGTAATTCTTTCAATTGTTAAGGTGCTTTTCTAATCTAAAATGAATGATTATATACAACAGTACTTGTGTAATTTCTGCCTTGGGTGAGCAATGGTTTGTATATTGAGCAAAAAGACAGTAGAGCACTATGCTGAAAGAGACAAAAAATACAGCCTTCAGACCCTGGAGTAACAACATAAAGTATCAAATGCTTATGATGTATATAAAAAGATCCTTTTATATAAACCCTAAAAACATCAGTTACAATTCAGTACGAAAGCAGCTATATAAGCAGAACCAGGAATGGAACATTGCTACTCACCTCGATACCAAGCAATGCACCGAGGGCTGTGTGCAATAACCTAAGAGAAATGCCTGATGCAGATACAACTGATCAAAGCATGATCTGCTTTGTCTTGCCAAACTGCCAGCAGTTGTCCCTGTGCCCTTTCTATATTTAAGAAAAACCCATCACCACATAGTGCTGTATTTCCACTACCTATTCTAAAGCTTTTTCAATGCTTGTTTTTCAACTGATGAAGACACTCCGGTATTGAATAGATAAAATATATCACATTAATGTGGACAATTAATATGAGCTGTTATTTCTGAACAAGTACAGGGAGCAAGACACTCTGTTAAAGTTTGTAGACACTAAAATTCACATGAGATTTAGATTTTTCTCCGTTTCCTTTCAGCTGTATTCAGTGTGCTGAGCCATGCAAATAAGCTGGTGTTTGGAAGAAACCCAAACATATTCTCATACTCACCAAGGAAACAACTAAGGTGAAGAGCCAGGCATAGATGAAGAAGTAGTCTCCCCCTATTTTAATAATGTAAAGCAGAAGAGATGTCACTGGCAACAGAATACACTGAGTCACAACAAACTTCTTGATAGCATCCTTAAAAAAAAATCCCAGCGTCTGAAAAGAAAGGATAAAGAATATCAGTGATATGTCAATGCAAATATTAATGTGCCACTGCGGTTAATGAACTGATCCCTTCAGATAAGACAAATGGGAAAACAGCGATGCCAGTGTGGTAAGGAAATGAGAGTCAGTCAGAAAAGGTGGAAGAACATTTTCAACTCCTCTGCTAGTAGCTCCTTACACAAGCACGGACGCGAGCCCATGCAGATGCTTTCTTCTTTAGTCTGACCCAAACCCTTATTTTGTGTTGCACATTCATTAAAGGAGAAAAGAAAAATTTAAGCTTATCTTTACCAATCTATATCCCAGACATCAAGGCATTCTTAGAGAATAAGAAATACTCAAAGAAACACAGTTACTGTAAAATGTTTTGTCTTCCACTTAACAGTTGTCTCCATTCGTCTTAACTTTCAGTTACCACTATGCTAATTGTCTTAAGTGAAAATATATAGAAACCCTATTACAGATTTTCAGCAATACATTGGGCATTTTACTCCAAGCTTCCACTGACATGGAGTTACTACTCAAGTAGCTGTCTTGGGTTTTAAAATTAGCATAACTTTAATAGAAGCAATAGAAATTTCAAAGACCTCTACCTGAATGAATTTGATATAGTGACTCTGCAACATGATAAGACACACATCTAGCTCTAGAAGCTTAATATGTAAAGATCTTTCCAACAAGGCCGTACTGAAAGCATATACTATTTCAAAGAATTTGTCTGCAAATAAAAACAGGTCAACTACAACCAATTTAGCTCATATTTGCATTTTAAATCTTTTTTTACTTCCAGCTCCACAGTCTTGGAGGAGTAGAACTAGAAAATTGCACAGTGTCTTTCATCTTTGCCCAGCATATTTCCTGCTTTCTAAGGCAAATATGACCTTGAGAAAAATCCTCATTTTCAGCAAGCCATTCCTAGAGAAGGAGTCTATCTGAAGATCAGTCAATTATCATGCTAGAAATGCTAGAAATTCCCAAGTCTGGGCTGGTACCGGGTGTGATTTTGGCTCATTCACCAAGGACCAGCCCTTCAGTCTGAAATGAGAGACAGAAATTTGACTGTGTTTGTAAGACATTTAGTACCTCAGACTGAACTGGACCTGGACTGAGACTTCAGCTCTCAGCATGAGGACCACTGTGTGGCAGTGAATATAAATGAGACCCTCCTGGGATGATGGAAAACGGAGGATCCTTTATTAATGGCTGAACAAGTTCTTATATTCCAAAAAGGTGTGGTAACAAAACATCAAAACATGGGGGGGGCCAGTGCAGTCCTGTTCAATCACTTTAAAGCTTCTTCCCGGGACACTTCTAATTGGCCATTTTTTCGCAGGCTTCCATCAGAACTTCAACTCCCAGCGTACACCACGACCATTACACAACAAGCATCCTGTATTAACTCACTCATAACCCCAGACAACTGCTGTGAAAAAACCCTTGTAAAAGATATCATGCAGGTAGCTCAGTCAAGCACTTAATCTCCATGGTCAGTGCCAAACCTTCTCATTTGATTAGGCAGTGCTTGCACTGACAACAGTGAAGTACACAGATTGTGTGCTCCAAGAAGAAAATGCTCAGAGATACACCCAGAATACTGCTTATCCTTCCTAAAGCACACAAACCACATGAATTCTGCAGGCTCTCAAGGCACTTTTAAAAGAAGCCCAAGCTGTTAAGTGCAGTATTTGGCCCTCTCCTGCACAGAGGCAGGACTTGATCAAGTTAAGCTCTCCATCAATCAGCTAGTCTGCTGACTGGCTTTAATTCTACTGCCAGTCTCTGGACTTAAGTGTGCTGAACATAAAGGGCTTGCAGATCCTGCACCAAGATGGAACTTATTCCTCACTAAGGTAGGAGAAGCAACCGAGCTGCAGGCCTGATGCCAGCTACTCAGGATTGACATGAGAGACAAGAGTGAGAGATGGCTTTTGATGTGTTTAAGAATTCTGAATGTCAAAAGGATGTCTAAGCTAGGCCAGAAGCAAGAACAAGGACTTTGCCAGACCTTACAATCTTTGAGGACTGCAGAACTTAAGTGATAGCTGGAGAATAATCCAAATACATTAAACAGATATTTCCCCTGAAGAAAAGATTGGTTGACTCATGCTCTGGAAACATGGGAACATTCCTTCCTCCCTTGCTAGGAGTGGATGTTAGCCTGCCAGTGTGCTCACTGTTAAGTCTACAGAAGAGAAGGGGATCCCCAGGACTCTGCCTCAGAACCACCTGGGACATGAATGGCCATGGACACCGTCATTCTGACAGCGACCATTTCCTCACTGGTAAGAGGAAAAAAGTTAACATGTGGGTTTTTAGAAGCACAAGACTTTTTTAAAAGACTAGAGTGCTAAATGGAGTATAAAAGAGTTCCGAGTTTGTCACGAGCTCAAGGTTTATGACTAATTAGAACAATCTTCAGATTTGCTTCCCAAAGCCCGGAGCAGCATCTGCCATTGGCCCAGTATTCAAACATCGCAGGTGGGGCAGACACGTGGCCAAACCAGCCTTGTTGTTTTCTGGGAATACAGACACAAAATTGTGCAGTGAGAATTTTCACAGCTGGGCTTCCCTACTTAACAGTATGCCACTAAATAATTGATGTGAACCAAAATAATACTGGATGTGTCAGGACCTACACATTTCTGTTTTAAAGGGTGCAAACTGATTACTGCATTTAGAGCTTTTTTATCACTTTTTTTCTTGGTTGTTTATAAAAAGGAATATGAAACATCAATTCATCAATTTACCAGGAACGTAAGAGTTTAGAAACAAACTAATTTCACTTCTTTAGGTCTTACCTTGCTCAGTCTTCCTGCCTCCACAGAGACTGGAAGATGAAACTGGCAAATACCAGAGCATATCTACTGATATTAAAATGAGCCAAACAGATTTATCCCACATCTGCTACCCATCCAAATTTCATTCTACTGCAAAAAAAACCCCAACCAACCAACAACTTCCTAGGAGACTTGGAACAGAAAGTAATGTAGACAAGACCAGCTCGGTCCGAAGCAGAAAGCGTATCTTATGCTCTGGCATGAAATGGCTAATGATGTGTCCCAGATTGAGGTTCTTCTCCCAGAAAGAATATCTGATCTCACGAGAAACTGATACTGACACAGGTTAAACCAAGTTGTTGAAAGAAATTAAGAAAGCCAGAGAAGAGCTGAATTCTCCAGTTTAGTAAAGGCTGATATAAGAAATCAGCAGGCGAAACAAAATGAGGAGGAGAATAATTCCTCAGTTTTCTTTCACCTGGTCAGTGTCCATAAATCAGGACTGACCCTACTAAGCAGTGATCCAGACTTCTAAGGGTGGGCATATGAAGGGCAAAGAACAGTCCATCCAAAACTGAACGGGTGAGGTATGAAACATTCTTTGTCCCACCCCCAGAACACACACTCAGAGGCACAGGCTCACAGATGTGCTGCAGCATGGGCACTCCTGCAACAGCCACAAACTGTCATTGCTCTGATTTTTATGCAGTGTAAGTAGAAGAAATGTTCCTAAAACCAACGATCTTCAGCACAGATATGGACAGACCAGCCCATCTAACCAACCTGAAGCCATTGGGTCAGTACAAGTGCTCTCTGCAATACCTGTTGATTGAAGCCATGTTTCTCTTCTATGACAAATGTATTATATAAGCTCCATGGGAGACCAGTCACAGCACTGAAGAGTGTTGCAAGCAGCAGAAATACCAATGACTGAACAATCTGAAACAAAAAACCAAATAAATCCACCTGATATGTACTGACCCATAACATAAATATTCAGGGTGTTAAAAATGGACTTTAGGTCAGTGGTTTAACTGAAACCGGTTAGAAGATGAAGCTAGATAAATTCACAAACATAATTTGTGATGATTAGATTACTGCTCACTGGAATAGCTTACTAAGGATTTGGGACACAAATTTGGATACATGCCTCATCCACAGCACAAAGACAACATAAGCAGTAACCTCAAATTTCTTACCCTTTTACTGTGCAGGAAAATCAAATCTAGAATTAGTAAAAAGACAACACTCAAATAAAGAGCACCCAAAAGCCTGACCCACCACATGGTTTGACTCAAGTAGCTACAAGACTTGTAGGTTTTTAATATACAAGGCTATTTTAATTAGTAAGCTAATTTAAAAGTCATATACTGTTACCAGTTTTCAGACTCACACCATCATTGTGTGCACCAGGAAGTATCTGATATTTTTACTATAATATACGGTAGCTAAATCCCACTTTTAACTAAATGCCAACTTTGAAATAAAAACTATTACTGCAGCATGGAACAAATGTTCTCACAGAAATATAAAGCCTGCTTACCTCATATTCTTGTCCAAATCCAGCATGACCAGAGATCTGACCAGACAGTTTCCAGAGAAAAGGAATTCCTCCACAGAGGAGAATCATCTTGAAAACAAAACCACATAGCAAAGATACAGTATGAAAGACTGTCATCTTAATCTACTAAAATTTCAGCATGATAAGGATCTTTTAAGGGTGAATAAGACAAATTTTATAATTAGGCTTTTTGTCTCCCTCTGATCTTAACAGTGATAAAGCAAGCCTGGAATATCTGGCTGAAATAAAGCATACTAGTAATTCTAACACAGCATCTCCCCTTCAGTTAACTTGCTGGGTTAAAGAATCATACTTCAAAAAGGCAAAAGCTTGAAAAACTGACATCCAGTTTCATCAGCTTTGGTCACAACAGCCTCTTTTAAGTTCAGACAGTTCCAAAAGCCAATAAAGGATGCAGTTTAAGCTCGAAGAAAGTGGCAAACCTGGACAGTGAAGGCCACCTCACTTGAACTGGAATGTGATAATCCCAGAACAGATGCTGAGAAACAGAAAGACACAGCTCAGCATCACAGACAGGAGCAACAACTCATCATTACAGACATGTAGAGAAGAAGCTGCACATAGCCTACACATGAGGGCTATCCATGGAAAAGCCCTCTAAGGTCATTGAGTCCAGCTGTTACCCAGCACTGCCAAGCCCACCACTAACTCATGTCCCCAAGTCCCACATTCACACATCCCTCCAGGGATAGTGACTCCACTTCTGCCCTGGGCAGATTGTGCCAGGGCTTGAAAACCCTTTCCATGGAGAAATCTTTTATCCCAGATAAACCTCCTCTGGAGGAGGTTTAACTTGAGGCTGTTTCCTCTTGTTCTCTGTTCCAATGCTTGACCACCCTTTTAGTGAAGAAATACAATACCCAATATATATAATATCCAGTATAAGAAATACAATATCCAATCTAAACCTCTCCTGTCACAACTTAAGGCCATTTCCTCTGGTCCAGTCAGTCCTGGGAGAAGGACACTGGCTCATGTTCAGCTGCTGTTGACCAGCACCCCCAGGTCCTTTCCCAAAGGGCAGCTTCCCAGACACTCTACCCCCAGCCTGGAGCGCTGCTTGGGGCTGTTGTGACCCAAGGGCAGGACCTGGGAGCTGAAAACTGTTTCGAAAACTGCTCATTCAGGCCAGTGTTCAATTAGCTGGGAGCTTTAACTCACATATTCCATGTTTTTTTCCTTGGCTTTTGAACATCAGCATCACTATGACACAATCAATTCGATAATGGCAGCAGCAGTTTGAGACATACCTATTTTCCAGCTGTCTATCACCATCACAGCTGAAACAGTAGAACAACATACACACTAAGATGCTTGTTGACTTAGTAACTGGCTTAGAAAGCACCAGCATAGTCTGGATTTTGTGGCTCAGGTGTGGAAGACAGCTAGATGCACTAATTTCCTTAACAAATCAATCAGCTACCAAAATCATTGTAGACCTGTTATTACAGAAACAGGGACAGAACAGAAAGAAAAGTCAAGAGAGAAAGCAAAAGCTGTGCTTTTCCTACACAGGCAAGCACAATCACAGAATGGTTTGGGTCGAAAGGGACCTTTAAAGATCACAGAACGGTTTGGGTGGGAAGAGACCTCAGTCCAACCCCCCTGCCATAAGCAGGGACACTTTCCACTAGACTAGGTTGCTCCAAGCCCCCTCCAACCTGGCCTTGAACACTTTCAGGGATGGGGCAGCCACAGCTTCTTCATGGACCACTGACCCAAGAAACCCACCGACTCAAAAGAAAAGAAAGACTGAGAATTAGCATGAGAGTAATTTAACCAACGGAAAGTAGAATACTAACTAATAAAAGAACTATGTAACTTGTAGCCAACAAACTTCCATTTTGTTTCCCAATACGTACAAATGGCATAAAGTTTTGATGACCAAGGAGCCAGCCTTCTGTGGGTTACCACCAGCTCCCAGCAACCCCAACTGTCTTAGCCTGTCTTTGAAGGAGAGGTGCTCCAGCCCTCTGGCCATTTCTGTGGCCTCCTCTGGACCCACTCTGGCAAATCTGTGTCTTTCATGCACTGGAGACCCCAGAGCAGGAGGCAGCACCGTTGGTGGGATCTCACCTGAGCGGAGCAGAGGGGCAGAATCACCCTGTTACCCACACTGCTGTGGATCAGCACAGGACGCAGTTGGCTCTCTGAGCTGCAATTACACGTTGCCAACTCAAGTCCAATTTTTTGTCCACCAGGACCCTGAAGTCCCTGTTCACAGGGCTGCTCTCAATCCACTCATCCCCCAGTCTGTGCTGGGGCATGCCCTGACCCATGTGCAGCACCTTGCACTTAGCCTCGCTGAACTCCATGAGCCTGTCAAGGTCATCCTGGACAGCGTCCATCCCTCCTGCCCATCAGCTGCCCTGCTGACCCTGGTGTTAGCTGCAAACCTGCCGAGGGTGTCCTCAGTCCCACTGCAGATATTATACAGCATTCACCCTACTATGGACCCTCGAGAACCACCACTGGTTTCCATTTGGAAACTGAGCTTTATCTCTTTGGATGCAGCCATCCAGCCAGTTCTTTATTAATCTAATAGTCCATCTGGCAAATCCAATTTAGTGGCTACAGCGTTGTGGAGGACCATAACAATAGGCCTGGATGAAGATAAGCACGGACTGCAGACTTGGCTCTTTGAATAGCAGGGCACTAAATTCAGTGGAAAAAGAATTGCATTTCAATCATGTATATTTTCCTTAAAAACAACAAGGGAACCTGTTTTGGCTAGAACTCTTGAAACCAAGATAAAGCTTCAGAACTTTTTGACTCATTCCATTTGCTAAGCGGTACCACCTTACCGTGCCCACCAAACCACTGCTGGAGAGCAGCTTCGATTTACAAATTAAACACTGCCTCTAAAGTTGCTCAGAAACACAGAAGCTATTCAAACTCACATAAGAATTGCCTCAAGTTTTACTCAGCATACCAAAAATCCCAACAAAAAGAAAATAACAGACTGCACTGACACAACATCCTTACAAGTACATACAAAAGGAAACAAAGTACAGGTTGGGCTGCACAAAGGAGATTAGGAAATGTGGAAGGTAAGAGGCGTCACAAGTCTTAAGTACTGGGTTTGCATCATCATTCTACAGTTACATGACTGACTATTTTACAATCCTATTTTCATTAGCTTTTATGACTGTCATTTTTGCTTCCTTAAGTTTATCATGAAATAGGATCATACTTCAATTTTACTTGGCAATGCCAAGCACTTCAGGATTCCTTTTTGACCCAGTTGTGCTACTGATGAGCAATGCATTTCAGCAGCGATTTGGAACAAAGTATATATGTATGTGATTTTCAAACAGTCTTAAGAGTCTTAGAGACTTCTAACTCAGTGGTTCTGTTTTTTTCATACATGTGAACGTTACTTGCCCAACGTAATTCTTATATTTCAGATGTATCAATTGGTACTCTCCTTGTTCTCACAAGCTTCTCTTTTTATCTTCTACTTAAATTTTATCTAAAAATGAAAGTACTTGCATCCTTCCAAACACAGGGAAAGGTCTGCATTTTAACAATTTAAAATAGCTCTCATGCTGCTTCATTATTTGGCAACGGAAACCATAATATATTAAATATAATAAAATAATAAAATATAAGGTAATGTTGTAGTTGTGCAGTATGACTCAGCACTGCAGAGAGAAATTACGTGCTGTCTGAATAATTATTTCTTATATAGCAAATACAGCCACAAATAAGGAACACAAAAATGTCAGTGTTTGCCATAAGAATGCCAATGGTGCAGCTACACGGGATCATTAAGAACCAAAGTGTTTCACAGTTCAAGTACATGAAAAATATATGCAAGGTACTTACAGTGCCCTCAATCTCTGAATAGAGGCCTGACCAAAAGCTGAAAGTACTTTTGTCCAGCTGATAGAGACGAGATTTTTCAAATGTTTCTGAATCCATGATCTGTCCCAATTCTTGTGGTACATGTGTTGTTGTTCTATACACCCGTCTCTAAAAAATCAAAGAAACTAAAGTCTACATCTAATATTTTTAAGGAGACAAGATTTAAAAGTAACATCTAACATGATTCAATGGGCCACCACAGAAAGTTTAAAAAAAACAAAAAAAACCCAACCAACACACAAAGCAACAAATATTCCTAAATGCCTGTTTTCTATCAAGTTCCAAATACAAAACTGAAGCATAATTATTAACGTTACAACCAGGAACTGAGTTGCTGACTTATTAACTTATTTAGAATAGTTCAAATACAGATCACACAAACTGATTTTTCCACAGGATGTGACTTACTGCACCACAGTAAAGACTAAGCAGAATTTGAAACCAAACACCAGATCCTCCAATGCAAACCATGAGACTTCACCAGAACACAGATCTACAGCGTGGCTGCACAAACGAGGTGCTATTTCATTCTCAGTACAGAACTTGCCACTTGAAAATTTTTAAAGAATAAAAGTCTTTTCCCTCTGATGCCTTATCTTGTTTCAGTATACTTACCCCTTCTCAAACGGTACTCTGTCATTTCAAAACACATTCTCCCTCTGCCCGGGGCACCAGTCTGCAGTATCCCCGATCACAGGGCTCACAGGAGCTGGCAGCACCGCTCCCTGTCCTCTGCAGCGCTGCCCACCCGGGCCTGGCACGGACAGGTGCGCGGGGATGGCCCCGCGTTCTGGGCGCTGGAGACACCCCGGTGTGCGGCTGCTGCTGAACCTGCCAGGGCTGACCCTGCTCTGCCCCACGGGCAGGATGGGGGTGGAGAACCTGCTGGCAGGAGACAGCCAAGACCTGACAGAAGGGACACTCCGTGTTGTGTAATGATATACTCTGGCGTACGAAAAGGGGTGTGGGACGTGCCTTCCAGGGTGGCTATCACTCGGAGGCCGCCCAGGCATCGCCTTCGCCTGGAGGTGGCGAGCGACGGCCTGTGCAGCGCTTGCGGGGTTTCCCCCGCTCTGTCCTTCACCTGTCGTTACTTCAACCCACGCGTTTCCTCATTTTTGCTCTTCCCGCTCTCTCAGCTGTCCCGGGGAGGAGAATCGAGCTTCTGGGGGTGCTGGGCCGCCAGTGACCCCACCGCACTCACACAACTCATCGTTGTGAGCATCCTCACCACCTGCTGAGGCCGCACCCCGGGACAGGGCCGAGCCCTCCCCAGGCAGGCGACAGGCCTCGCGTCGCTCGGCCCCAGCCCCGGCCCCCGCCACGTGAGGCTGGGCCGGGCCCGGCCCGGCCCCGGCCCGCCGGCTCCCATCCCCACCGGAGCCCTGCCGACCTGCCGGTGAGCCAGGAAGGCCTCCCAAAGGTAGACGGCCCAAGAGAAGAGCAGCACGGAGCAGAAGATGCGGCGCTCGGCCGGCAGCTCTGCCCACAGCTCCCCGGGCAGCGCCATCGCCGCTCCGCCCGCCGTGCGCTGCGGCGCCGCCTGGCGGCCGGAGGAGCCGCGGGAGGGGGGCGAGCGGGGGGGGGGGGCGGGGCGGTCCTAAGGGGCGGGCTGGGCTGGGCCGGGCTGGGCCGGCTCGGCTCCGCTCGGGTCGGACTGGGCTCAACTCGGCACGGCTCGGCTCGGCTTGTCCACCCCAGTCAGGAGCCCACAGGGCTGGGTCAAGGCACATGGAGGTCAGCCTAGCGAAAATCTGAGTGTCAATGCATCAGATGTTTAAATTATTTTTCTCAAGTTACCCAGACTACGCACAATAATGCATATAAAAGCTTGCTAGTACTTGTCCAAATCCTTTTACAGCAACACTAAGAGAAGTACAAAAATTAACACTGACTGCTCTAGTACTCACTGATTTTCTCTCCTGTGCCTATTGCAGGCAGCCCCTTGGCTGTCTCTCAACAGCTGTTTTTTATCTCTCTGCAATGCAGTATCATCGACTCTAATCCTACTATAGTAAGCTCTGTTAAGTCCTTCCTAAAATAAAGCAGGCTGGTATACCACATCTTCCATAAAGTCATTTGTTTGGCTGCTTGCTCTCCCATTGCAGAGAGATACTGTTGCAGAGAAATTCCCATAATGTGGGTTCCTTCCTTTTTAAGAAACAGGGAAGAATTCAAGGGATTTGCTGCTCCTGGTCATGCCACCAGGGATCTGCCACAGAGGCAAGCAGCTGCTACGGACCATCCCTGGGGATGAGCTGAGGTAGCAGTTAACTTGGCACATAGTAGTGACTGACTCACGCGAAGGACCATGAACTGGGCTTCCCAGTACAAGAGACATGGAGCTACTGGAGTGAAGGGCTATGAAGGTAACAAAGGGACTGGAACATCTGTGATATGAGGGAAGGGTGACTCCTCAGTGTTTTACAACACTTTAAGCATTTCTTGTCATGGCTTTTGCCTAACTCAGTTCATTCTGAAGGGAAGCACACCTCTTTTCCTGAGTCAGAATAAACCAAAACTGTTTTGGGAAATAAAAAGCTACAGACCTACAAGGAATCAAGGGTTTATTTAGAGCCAAAACACCTGCTTCATATTTGGTCTCTGTAATGCTCTATGAAGACAGCACAGTGCTGCTGAAATCCAGAGTTCACCCAGCAGCACTGAGGACACGTGCCACGCAGAGCACAGTGACTGTGTAACAGAGACACACATTACAAGGGGCATTAATGAATGCTCCTGTTTAGCCAGTTCTTGATATGGCATTTTAGTATCAGTCATTCATCTAGTGTCTACCAGTTCAAAGTATAACAGAACCTGTTTGTGTATTTTTATCATTAACTTTTAATAAAATAATGCCAACTTAATTTTCTCATTTTCTACCAGTTACTTTTGTTACTATTTAGCAGAATAACCTGTAAAACATACCGAAGCCTAGCGTTTTTCTCAAGTTAGTATGTCCCCGCAGAAGAAATACTGCCAGGGCAGATGAGGCAGTGCTACTCCTAGTCAGGCCTGCTACTGGCTGCCACTTTTCTCCTTTCATAGAGGAAGCTCTAGAAATTCATCCAAGATGGCCACGTCAGAGCCCTCCCTGGCACTGCACTGCATCCCAAATAATCCCTTACCTACCTTCCTTCTCTACACTTGTAAATCTTAAGATAATTTCAAGAAGAGCAAACAGCTCTCCTGTCCCACCTCACCCCCTCCAAACTCAGGGAATACTGTTGTGGGAAGTCAGGAGAGCAGAAGGGCTCAAAGGCAGCAGTTGTAAACTTTAGGGGGGAGACCAGGTTTAGCACCTCACAGGGCCAGACAAAGAGAAGGTGGTTTAATTTCAGACTCCCCTGCTCTCTGTCATAACCTTGTTCAGATTCTTGACAAGACATTGGAGGACTTAACTGGAAATTGAATTTCTCTTGAAGAATTCAAGATAGTCAAGATGCAGAATTTGCGAAATAACGTCACAAGGCCTTACCAGCATCATAAAATTTAAAGATCTTGCACGAGCAAAGGCAAACAGAAAACAACAGGCAAGAAAAACCACGGAACTAACCCGTTGGCACTGCTGAGCCCTACCGGGACAGAAGTCAGCCTGGAAGGTCTCTCTTTGTAAAGGTATTTACAGTTTTTTACTAACCATGAGAACATGGCAGGGTAGCCCCATAGCCTTGGGGAATTTCGGCATGTACAACCAATAAACATGTGGTCCAAAAAAATCCACACACTAAAAGGCAGTAATTTTAAAAATGGAAGCAACATTCTCTGATTATGAACTTGCATCTGTGTTTCCTGAGTTATCTGCTGTTCACAGTAATTCTTTTTTTTAGGAAGTCAATGTGAAGGTGTTCCTTTACTGTGGAACAAAACATTTCTCTGGTATGTTTGAAAGCAAGAAGCTGGAAATGTTACATCTTCACTGTAAGACAAGTTCTGGTAGCCCTTGGAAAGGAAAATGATGGCCTACCTCATGGCATGAAAACAGAAACAGACAGTTAAAAACTCTTCAGACCATTACCCTTTTGTGGTCTCCTTTCCTGGTGCCCACCCATGACAGGCAGTTAGATCAGACAAGCCCAAGAATAAATTGGGATAAAGATGTGGATTCAAGCTGTACAGTTTTGATGCTGTGACACCTATTACCTAGATGATAAACAAGTGGAGTTCAAAAACTGAAATACACTGTCAGTCTCTGAACTGGGCAAGATATAATTTCTGTAACAAGGAAGGATCTGACTGACCAGTGCTGCACTGGTATCTTTCAACAAAAATATGAACACCTTGAGCCCACTCATTAAAAGTCCTGGCAGTGGTGCCACATCACCACAGGAAAATGCCTCCAAGATGCTTTTGTGCAGCCCCTGAGGAAAACCACTTTCTAAATGCAACTCTTGGACTGAGGAGTGTCGCATGACTTGTCTCCACATCTAGCAGACAGAAATGATGTTTGTCTCCGTCTACTCCTGTCGTATATCCCAGCCTATGGAAATAGCAGCAGCAACCTACTTAATGGGCTCTGTAACACCAGATGTGCAACAGGTACCAGCCTGCCCTGTGTGCAGTGGTGGTGATTTACACGCGTGCGGTAACTCATTTGGCAAGAGCAGAATTATCTCTGAGGAAATGAAAGTTTCACACACAACTTGTTCCATGGGATTATGGAAATGTCACAGAATTCATGTGTAGTATGCAAAATTGTTTATGTATCAAGTGGCAGGACTAAATTTTTAATAGAAAAGCTGGAACACTGAAGAAGTTTAATACACACACAGTTTAAGCACAGTGGGATTGTATAAGTGTAATTTTGTATGATTTTGTACAGTTCTTTGGTGGCAAGTTTGCAGCAGAGCTTATATGAAGAGCACACAGGAAATGCAAACTCAGTCACAGAATTAAAATGAAGCAGAAAAGCTTCCACCATGCCAGGCAGAAACTTTTGTGTTCCTTATTTTTGGACAACTTCTGTGGTCCTAGAATCTTTCCAATTATAAAAAGAACTGACAAACTAGGTTTTATTCACTGTCAAAAAAGCTAACCGGGGAACCCAAAATGTGCACTGATACTTTCATATGACACAGCTTCCTCGGAAGTCTGGCAACACTCGTCACACACTCAGGTGGTGCCATACAGTCTCAGAAGCACCTTCTGCCTTTAAAGGAACATGGATTTTCTTGTCCCTAATTGGCAAGTGCTTTCTGCCTGTACTAATTATAAATCTTTCAAATGTGAAAAAAGCACAGAGAATGTTGTAAAATAAAATGTAATACTTTACTTTTCCGTATCTATTTCATCAGTCTGATAAATTATCTACAAATGCATAAAACTTAAGCAACATTTTCCAATGCACTCAGAATGGTCCCAAACTCAATTACAAGTAAAGCACATTAAAGATTTACTGTACAGTAAACAAATGGGTGAAAAACTGTAATTTATTGAAACTCATAACTCAAAAAATATAAGATGCTGTAGTGTACAATATGTTACACAAAGCACCCTAGGGTGCACATTCAAGTCAAGTAATAACTCCATCACCCCCCAAACCCTGGTACCCCAGTACTTGTTCCATATACAATCATGCACATTTACTCTTCAAGAGGAAGCCCCCAGTATTCTGATGTGTTAAATAGCACCAAAATCAGCATTGTTCATTGAAAAAATTGGGGGAGCTAAATTAACTTGGCCAATACTTTTGACAGATATTATACATTCATGGAATTAAACAGTCTAAACTAACCTAAAAGTGTGTACTGTAACAATTACTGTTCTAATTTGAAGTTCTCCCCATAAAGCAGTAGTGGAGGCAATATGCTCTAAGTAAAGCTACTTACGTACTTCCTACACACAGCTCATCTGCCTTTTTTGTTGGAAATAAGTCTATGAGAGGTGTGGAAAACTTGGATCTTTCAAGAACAACTACTGGTCGTAAGTAATGCAGCTGTTTTAAGGCAAGGTCTCCACAGTCTGTTAGGGCCTTGTCCAGGATTGCCCTCAGATTTTCTAAAGAAGGGGCAGATGAGGACTCTGACAGCAAGGGCTGGATCTCTGTTAATTCCCCAGGATTATTCGGGGTTATGATTACATTTTCATCATTTACAAAGTTGTTTACTGGTGTATCCCCCTGACTATCTCCCTCTTTTTTCAAGGTTTCATCTACTGGCAACTGCTCAGAAGACTCCCATTCTACTACCTCATCACAATCATCATCATCGTCATCATCTTTTCCCTCACTTTCCTGAATAAATTTTAAAAATGAAGACTCGAATCCCATTGGTTTATATGTCTTTAAATCAAATGGTTTGGACACTGGAGGCTTCTGAAATTTGTCT